CTCGCCGCTGCTGCCCGCCGCTGTTCTGGTACCTCTGTCTGCAGCCTGCAGGCTTAACTCTCTTTTCCTCTCTCGCTCTGCATTCTCTCTCTCTCTCTCTCTCTCTCTCTCTCTCTCTATCGTGACCCTTTTCTCTCTCGATCTCTTTTTCCCTCTTTTTGGCTCTTTCTCTCCCTCTGTTCTCCTCTCTCTCTTGTTGCTCTTGCTGTATCCTATGTTCTTTTCTATTCTTGCTCTATCATCTAACCCTGACGGCACGACAGTGGAAAACACTGGGAAATATCGCGGAATCGCGATCTTCTGACTTTTTGCGCCGAGAACTTTCGCAAGCTTTGATTCTGTCTCTCGATGATTATCGTGTATACCTATATAGTGTTGACAGTACATTTTTAGAAATATATATGATAACATACACTCTATCGAATGCGTTATCTCAACATACGTATCTTTCATAAAGCTTTTCAAGGTGTAAAACGTGCTTTGTGGAATTCTCATACAAGTCTATTAGAAGAAGCGATCTCATTTCTCTTACATTATTCGAAGTGCAATCGACGCAGACTACAGCATGTGTGTTGTGTACAGAACATTATTCGATCACATATATATGTACATCACATATACATATACATATTCATTAAAATTCAGTCGTTCATATACGACTATCTTACTTTGAAGCTTGGTTTAAAGCGTCGTCGTCCGTTGTATTGTGTACGGATATCTTATATTTAAAATTCCATAAATAATAACGGTTCCAATAATTATAAAATTAAACAATACAATATAGGGCTAAGAACCAACTCAGGATAACATTTGAGTAACAATATTATTGTAAGCAATATCAAAACGTACAGACATTTTGACCCCTATCGGGTCCTTCTCAATGTTAAAAAATAGAATAAAATGTTACAACTACGCAAGATGTTCAAAATAACAAAAAGGCGCATAAATATTCGCATGTTGGTACTGATAATTATAGCATAAAACGACCTAGCTTCAGTCGGTTTCCCTCGGAACTTGTAGTTCATATTATATATTCCAGATGTCACATAATCGTATGTAGTCTATGATACCGTGAGCTTCATCTCAAATTTATAATAAAATGGCCCATTGAAATTTAAAGTAATAACTTTGAATTCCTCCTTCCTTTTTTGTTATTTTGAACATTTTGCGTAGTTACATGTAACATTTTAATTTTATTTTTTAACATTGAGGAGGACCCAATAGGGATCGAAACGTCTTTACGTTTTGATAATGCTTACAATAATAGTGTTACTCAAATGTTATCCTGAGTTGGTTCTTAGCCCTAAATATATTAAATATATTAAATATATATAATATAAATATATTAAATATATATAATATAATTAAATATTAAATGTATATATATAAAATATATATTATAAATATATTGCAGTAAAATTTTCTCTCTACAATTAATATTGATAATAAATGCAATTGGCGCGTTTTATGATCATCCAATAATAAGAGAGCGCATATTTTAACGAGATGAACTCGTAAATCGCCGAGCAATTTACCGAAGAGATTCCCAGCACGCAAATTCGTGTTCTTAAAAAGTGTCGAAATAGCAGTTGAAAAGTCGACTTTGGTTACACGGGTGTATGAAGATAGAAAGACATGGGAGAGTGGAAAGAAAGAGGGGGGAGGAAGAAAGAAGATGCCGCGCGGAGGTTTGAGTTCCGTAATTGAATATATTTAAGCGCGGGAGGGACGTTTGTGCGGATTCTCGGCTTACAAGAACCCCATGCCGAGGTAACGTCTGCGAGTAAACTGGATTAATCGTCTATGAAGGGAGACCGTAACCCCGCCACATTCGTTTGCAATCAGATCCCTCCAGGGAACGCGAAACAACACCGTTCGTTGTAGCGCGCGGTCTTGTTTCCATTGCAATTTTACATCGATCATCGGCAAACAGATAGGGAGCGATCATCGGGTTGCAGGCGTGCTGAAATGCTCCACATTTAAAATGAATCAACAACGGTGAGAACAACGCGATGGAAAAAATATATAGCGAGCGTAAAAATACGTTCATCTTTTCTGAAATTTTTTACAATATTATTTATGATTGGGGTAAATTGTATATTTTAG